GAGAATATAATCAATCTGATTTCGATATTGCCCATCTGGTGATTTCCATGTATAGAGTTGCCTCTTGTGTTGTTGGAAAAGTGTTTGTGATCACCAGCTTATCCTCTTGACAAAACTCTATTAGCCTTTGTCTTGCTTCGTTCTGAACTCCAAGGCCAAACTTCCGTTGTTCCTTTTATCTCTTGGCTCCCTACTTTAGCATTCCAGTCCCCTAGAATGAGAAGAACATCTTTCTTTGGTGTCAGTTCTAGAAGGTGTTGTAAATCTTCATAAAATTGTTAAATTTCAGTCTCCTCAGCAATGCTGGTTGGTGCATAAACTTGGATTATTGTGATGTTTGTTTGTTTGTTTGTTTATTTAATTTATATCCCGCCTATCTGAATCACATAGGACCACTCTAGGCGGCTAGAGTTGAAAGGTCTGCCTTGGATTCGTATTGACATCATTGTATCATTTTTGAGATTGTATCCCATTACTGTACAGCTTTTCCCACTCTTTTGTTAACTGTGAGGGCCACTCCATTCCTTCTATGGGATTCTTGCCCACAATAGTCGATATGATAATCATCTGAGCTGAATTTGCCCATTCCTGTCCATTTTAGTTCACTGCCCAGGATGTTGATGTTTATTCTTGCCATCTCCTGTTTGACCACCTCCAGCTTCCCAAGGTTCATAGATCTTACATTCCAGGTTCCTATGCAGTATTTTTCTTTGCAGCATTGGACTTACCTTTCACATGGTGGGGCATAAATTGCATACACATAAATGCTGCATTGATTTAATTTCTCCAGTCACAGAAAATTTGTCCTGTATTAGAGTAGCCCCGTTTTACTTGATTATTCTTTGATCTTCCTACTTCATTTCATAGGCAGTCTATTAAGTGACTTCCAGATGGTCCAGCTAGTCTTGTCCTGATGGGAGACATTCTTCAGCATTTATCTATTCGGCAAAGTGTGTTCTTGTTATCCACAGGTTTAGCCTAGTCTGTTCTAGTTTGATCATTTAGAGCTTGAGATGTGTGCAGAAAACCTGTTCTTGTTTTTAGCTGTCATTTAGCACAGTGGTTCCCAACCTAGGATTCCCAGACATTCTTGGACTGCAGCTCCCAGGAACTGTTTCCAGCAGAGCTAGTGGTGATGGCTTCTGGGAATTGCACTCTAAAAAGAATGCCCTGGGACTCAACGTTGGGAACAATTGGTCTAGGGGGTTGATCTCCATGAAGTGAATGGGGTTTGGTGCTGTATTACCTTATTTTGTTCAGTAATTGCTAGCAGCTCTTGACATACTACTGGAGAGACAAAACACTGACCAAACACTTTCTCAGAGGGTAGGTTTCAGGCAGCCAGTAAGAATCCAGCATGATTTATTAAGAGCTACATCCATTTGTTTGGCATGTGCTGATTTATACTATATGGCACTAGCTTATTCTGCTATGGTGTAGCATAGGAATAAAGCTACTTATTGTTTGTGGATGTGCTCCCCAGTCTGACCCAGCCAGTTTCCCAAGCATGTTATTTTGGGCAGCAACTTTGTTTGATGTTTAGACAATGTGTTTTGTAAGTCTGGTAGTCTAGTATCATATTGATTTGCAACAAACACACTTGACAAAAATTGCTAACCGCTGTTTTGGCGAGCTAGACATTTATATATACCAGTCATTTTATCAGAATTAACAGAATCTTCTATCATACTAAATTCCTTAATACAGATTGGCTTCTCTAACAACCTTCTCAAGTTATACTTCTTGTGCAGACTATTAAACAAAAATCCTAAGCAGAGTAGTTGCACCTGACCGTCACAAAATACCTTGTCCTGATGGAGGTAAGATGATATCAGTGGAAACGAATTAAATTTCCATCAAATCTTGAAGCAATGGTTCAACAGAGCTCTAAGCATGAATAACTCAACATATTCTCTGCTACTTCAAAGTATTTCCAGCCTATGGCAAGTTGTATTTCCTCCCTTCTTCCTACCATTTCTCTTCTGAGGTAGCTAGCTAAAATACTTTTTAAAAATAGCCGTAGTTTTTTGTTGAGGAAAAGAAATAAAATGAAGTCAGAGAAAAACACATCATAAACTTTTATCCAGTGCATTTTTATTTTTATACTACATGAGATTTATACACAAGTTAAAGCTAAAAGTAGGAATCTGTAGACTTCAGTGCCAGAGAAAATACAGCCAAGCAGGCTTTGCACAGGTGCACATTAGCAGGCTAATGTATAGTATGGCTAATAAGCTCCTCTTTTACCTAGAACAACTTCATGACTTTAAACATACTCTCAATAAATGCAACTATAGAAATTACTCCAAGCAATTTCCTCTTCAGAGACTATCATTGCTACGATGAATATAAACTAGATATAGCCTCCCAGTGCATGTACTCATGAAACACTTTCTCGTGCTCTCTGCATTTACATCAGATAAGCTCTCTAACATAAACGGCAGTTACAAAAGAACAGCTGAGGTTGACCAATGGAAAACCATCCAAAACCTGCTTGCCACACTTGTCTCCCAGACAGACATCTTCCTGATCTGGTGAGATATAATAGGGACCTTTAAAAACAAAGAACTAGGACAAGTTCCAGAGAAGCAGATACTTCCATCATCTAGGTAGGTTTCCACCCATCTGAGAATTCTATCAGCTGATGGAGACTGGGTCTGAATTTCCATTGGTTGCAGGCTCTTCTTTTTTACCCTCCTCCAGTTCAGTCACACTTGTCACTAGATACTGAATATTCTAGGAGAAACAGAGAAGAGGGGAGTGAAACTATTCTAGTTTTTCATAAAGGAACAACAGTATAGTCACATAGAGCAGGGGTCCCCAACCCCCCGATCTGGGGCCCAGTGCCAGTCTGGCATCTTGGTAGGACCGGGCCACAGAGACAGATCCCCCCACGGTCTGCCCACCCACATGGGTGCCCCTCATATGTGCGTAAGTGCCCCTGCCCCACCCTTCCACACACTCTGACCCACCGCAAGTGCAGTGGGTGCCCCCTGAGCATGGGCCCCGTTCCCCAACTGATCCACGGTTCAGAAGTTGGGGACCACTGACATAGAGGACATATGACACTGTAACTCCAAAATTTCATGTTTGAGTCAGACCCACACAAGAGGGCTTTCCCTCTCCATTGGTTGGATGTTACTCCCCAATGAACGGGCTATTCTATTCTGAAATACAAGACAGCCAACATGCCATGGGAAATCTTTCCTGTTGGCACCTCCTTGAAACCAATGGCTACAGCAAGCCATTAGCCTTCATTCAGGGCCTATAAAATGAACTGGAAGTGGATTAATTTGAGTTTCTACGTGAAAGACTTGGAACAGCACAGACAAAGGTCAAAGGCAGGCAAACAGAACATGATTCTTCAGAAAACAGAAGAGGAAACAAGTACAAGGAAAACAATGAGACGCATGGCAAATGTGTGTATGTCCAATCACAAGGGTGTAAGCCAAGGAATCAAGTGGCAGAGGAAATGTTTACAGAAAAACACAAATGCTTCATGGTCACAATTCTACAAAACTCTTATTAATAGGCTCCCAAACACTTGCCAGTTCCAAGCCCTCCCCCATTCCCCACATTAATGCTCCAGACCAGCTGTACAGTGCTGCATGGAGGGGGTGATCTTCCCAACCCCTTCCCCCAACATATACAGGGAGCAGATGGCTAATCCCTTGACGAAGAAAGCACTGGTGAGCTTTTCCTTTATGGTCCACCTGTGCCCAAAGGCAGGCAGGCAGGCTTCAAAGAAACTGTTATGGAACAGGCAACCTTACTAGGCTTCAACAGTGACAGCCTTTGGTCCACTATCTATGCCTCAATCTATTCACAAAAAAGATGCATGCCATCTGACTCTAGAGGGGTTTTCAAACCCAATTCAGTACCTGTAATAGAAGCTCTTGTTGTGACTCCGTAATGGGAGATGCAGTTTGTCCAGAAAAGTCTCCCCTGCCTGACTGTTCTGCCTGGTTCAGAAATCCACGCTGAATAGACTCTTCATCTGAAGGTAGATTTACAGGAACTTCCGCATTTTTGTTCAACTGGTTCTCGAGGGCTGTAGAAGGATCAGAAAGCAGTGGAGAAGGGGGACACTGCATCCCATCCCCAACAACATCCAAATCCTAGTCAAGAAATAAAACAAAGAAAGAAGCCTACTTGGAATCTGCCAGGGAAAGCTGTGCTCATTTTCTTCCTCCCAGCAAACCTAATAATATGCCAACTTTTTCTAAGCAACCAAACAAAATCAACACACACTTCTTCGAAAGCTAGACTGTTCTTTCTTTGCACTGAAAAATAGTATGTTATTTGCCATTTACCAACCAGACAAACCTCCTTTCTTTTAAATGAAACACCAAGATGTTGATCCACCCACAGCCAGGGCTGACAACAAAGCTAGCTGGGCCTTGGCTGGAACAGTCAAATAATAGTTAGGCATCTTCCTTTGCAAGGAAAGAGGATGCTGGACAGAAAAATCAGAGGCTAACTAAAATACTGGGCAAAACAGTACCTTGATTGCCAAAGTCCCTTTTATGTGTCCCTTAGCCATTCATCTTCAACAAGCACAATACTATGATGAGGAGTACCAGATCTGGTACTGCCTTCAGTGAACCTCTGCTTTCCTTCTAAATACAATGCTGGGCTGGGCAGAAAAGAAATACTAATTAAGCTTCATAAGATGGGACCATAGAAGAATATAGACACAAGATCCATCTGCTGACAGTATTCTACCTGCAAGCAAGGATAGCTTTGCCTCCAAGATGTGAGTTGAAAGTACCGTGTTTCCCCGAAAATAAGACAGGGTCTTATATTAATTTTTGCTCCCAAAAACACATTAGGGCTTTTTTTCAGGGGATTTTTTATTTTACAGTCATGTCACCTTCTGGTTGCTGCACAATGGAGGAGGATGGGGTTTCACTTAACTGGGGCTTATTTTTTTTGGGGGGGGGGAGGCTTATATTGTGAGCATCTTGAAAAATCATACAAGGGTTATTTTCAGGTTACGTCTTATTTTCAGGTAAACAGGCTATGTGATTCTTCTTTTTTTGGGGGGGATTCTTTTTAATTGAAACACCAAGGATTGACATAAAGCTTCCTGAGCTCTGCAATTAAAATGCAGTATAATTCAGAAAGCAGCAGGGATTAGGTTTCTGATTTCCTATTAGAAAAGTGATTAAATGCAGAAGCTCACTAATAAATTTCACTAACCAAAAAATGTCCCTAGCATAGAACAAATTATGTTTGGGGAACAAATCTATCAATCCTTGTTATACTAGGCAGTCCTTATAGAACTAAAATAAACATCTTTAATGCTACTAAAATAAACATCTTCAATGCTACCTTTCTACAAAAGCATGTACATCAGAACATATGTGTGGAGGTGGGGAGGAAAGCACATACTGGCTTTACTCCAAATCCTCTGCCTTACAGTCTCCAAAGATGCCCTGACAGCCAGCAAGTTTGGTCTCCTCAACCACTTTCAAAACTGTTTCAGAGCTGAATCTACAATGAAACTTTCACATCATTAAGACATCTTTGTTTTGAGGCATTTCAGCCATTGTTTGCACTGTTTTTGTTATTTAAAAAAATGATTTTCAAGTACAAAGACAGCCCACATGAAGGCTTTTCTACTAATCTATGGATTACAACCCTCAAACACACTCTGCGAGACACAAGAGGGAAAGCTGCTTTTTAGAAAAGGCTTTTAAATTGAGATTTTAATGATCCAATCTTTTGGGGGATACCATTACAAAAAGAACTAGACCTAACCATGTGAGATCTAGCCTTCCATAATGAGAAACTTCTAGAAGTCTAAATTATTTCACTGATGAAGTGAACAGGATCAGAGGACATGGATTTTAGATTATCTCTTCAGTGAGTGTACAGCAACAAGGATTATTTGCTACAAATTAACAACAATGAGGCCTCCAGAGCTCTGTTCCTAAAGGAAATCCCTTGAAAGTGATCTATAAATCCAAGAGCAATGCATGGTAGATACCTTCTAGGTGCTACTTCCTATCACTAGAAAACTCTCTGTGCACAATGGACTCCCTCCCATTGGTATTACTAAAACAGCTGACAATACTCCAACTCTTCACTACCTCCCTGGCCCATCATCACCGTTGCATTTTCAGCTCACTCACTCCAGACATTTTAGACAACCATTTGCACATTCCCGTTACTGGCTAGGGGTTGTGGAAATTAATACTCCAACACATCTGGAGAGCACTATGAAATGCACCTAGTTTATTTAAGAAATATTACTCATTCAGGCATTTCTTTAGTTATGTTTTCAAGTGACAATGTTTTACATGTTTTTGAATATTTAATTCCTTAATCTCATGCCACCAGTGTTCATGAAACCCATGCCACCTGCTTCTCAGTATTTCCCATATCAGTGTTTTGGATTTTTCAGTATTCTTCCATTACTCTCTCACATGTAGATTCCATGCCAGTTTACAGATTACGGTGCCTTCTGAAGTGCCATGGGAAAATGCCACATTATAATCCACTTACATCACTAAACTCCAGTGGCAAGGACTCTGTGGGCCGGAGTTCAGCTGCACTCAAGTACAAGTCCGTAGAAGTAGCTTCCAGCTCCTCAGGAACAGATAGTACCTGTTCAGGAACATACATCTGAGGGGGTAGCTGGAGATGGAGTGGGCAGCAGGGATCTTCAGAGAGGCTTACAGGCACTGGCTTGCTGCAGGAGGCTTCTTCTGACCCTTGGCACAGCTTAAAGAGAAGCTGATTGTTGTCCTGGCAAATATCTGAAGATGCAGTTCAAGATAACAGACAATATTTCAAAAGGGCAAATCAGCCCTCCCATAATTCAAAGACAAAGTGTTAAACTGTTTAGCAAATTTGGGATTTTATGAAGGCACTGTTACAGTTAGAAGCTGTTTTTCTAAGGAGTCATACCTGAGAAATGTAACATGATAGAGAACTTTTCTAATTATTTTAATTTTTATCAAAAATTCTTTCCAGAAGAAAATATCAATATATAAATCTGAACTCCCAATAGCTTAATTTGTACAAAAATAATTCAGGCCAGATTACATTGTGTGACAAAATGTTCCATATGAGAACAGTCCTGTTTCAATCTCAACAAATCTATATAGGGTTTGTACTTGTAGTGGAAAGATTTTCCTGTGCAGATCACTAGCAGTCAGTTGTCAGAAAACTAAAGCAGAAAAATATCTGCAGGAACAGGCAATTACGACAATTTGCCACTGGCTTTGCATTACAGGACATCTAAATTCAGAGCAGGAGCTTAAAGTACCATCTTTGCACTTAGTGACGCGCAAGGATTTGATCAGTGCACATCATAGTAAAGCTACAAATCACAGAAGACTCTACTGGCTTACTGAACACTGTCTCTAAACCTTCTAGGCGAGCCCTCTATTCGTATGTGTTTGCACCTGAAAGGATCTACATTATTTGGCCCTATTTCAGGCTCTGAATTTACTTCAGCTCTTGAGTTTTAGTGTTGCTTCCAACTGAATTGACCATTCCAGTAAGCAGATATGGAACAGCCAACAGACCATAGGAAGACACTTCTCTGGGCTCCTGCTTGAAACCAGGGGCTACGGCAAGCCACCAGCCTTGATTCAGGGCCAGGAAGCATAGAAATAAGCTATTCGATCAACTTGCCAGAAGTACGTACTAATATAAACACCTGAGAAAGCAAAAGGATACGAGTAAGGCAGTGTCTTGTCATGGGTAGGGACTGGTTGGAACATCGGACATCATCCACAAAAGCCAAACACCTCTGACTGGAACGGGTTGTGTGTGCCTGAAGAGAATAAATCAGGACAGAAAAGTATATTCTAGTCTGCTGGCAGAGAAGATGCCATCACACATAGGCTCTCATGTTCAGAAAGTATCCCTTCTTCCAAAAAGGAACAGTCACTGCAACATCAACTCCTGGACGTCTTTCATATCCATGAAAGAGGCTGGCTTGGAAAACCAATAGAACTGCCAGAAAAAAAACCTCAAGCTAGAAGAAACTGGGCTCAGCCATGAACGCATTTATATTCTCAAGCAGATTTCAAGAGGTGACAAATTATTTTTCTGAATTTTGAACAGGAGCACAAATTATGTACTTATCTGAACATTGTGACATTTCACAGCTAGCTTGTTTTATGCCCCTGTCTTGGCTACACAAAGGAAAATCAACAACTTCTATCTCTACTACTGAGCCATGAAGTTACAGAAGCGCACGCAGTCTGGCTCAAGTACCTGCTGGGCAGCGCCCTCAGTGGCCAGCATTCTGCGTTCCTTCAGCTGCCGGTGCAGAAGAGCCTCCACACCATAGCGCTGTCGGTATCGTCTCAAATATTTCAGCCGCTTCAGGTTTTCACGCTCTTTAGCCAGAAGTCCCTCTGGGCCTGTCAGGAGGCTGCTACCTGGAAGACACCAAGGAAGCATCCTCAAGGCAGACTCAAAGTACTGCCCTGCTTTTTGCCAAACTCAGCAGAGCAAAAAACACAGGGCTTCTATCATCTTCCGGAATCTCACTGAGCTCAATCCCTTCATTATTTCCACCTTTCAGTTATTAACCCAGATAAACACGTATTACGTAAAACACAAAGAGCACATGAATATGACCCTATGCTGATCTACAGCCATGTGAAGCTGTATGGTTGTTAGTGCTGAGAGGAAATTAAATTTAGAATGGAAAAAAGTTACTCAGCTGAGCCTACGGGGCAATTAACTACAGTGGTGTCCTGCATGACGACGATAATCCGTTCCGTTAAAATCGCTATAAAGCAAAATTGTCATCATGCGAAAGTAAAAAACCCATTCGAATGCACTGAACACCGGTTAATGAGTTCCAATGGGGGAAATACCTGCTTGTTTTGCGAAGATCCTCCATAAGGGAAGCCATTTTTGATAGTTGTCTTTCGAAAATAGGTCCAGAAAACAGCGGGGAGCCATTTTGAAAACCCGAGGATCACCTGTTTCTAATCGTTGTGAAGCGAAAAAGCGGTTCCCGAAGCAGGGAACTATTTATTGTTAAGCGAAAAACCCCATAGGAATCATCGTTTTGTAATCGCTATAGTGATAGCAAAAAACCCTCATCGTTAAGCGATTTTGTCATGAAGCGGGGTCGTCAAGCGGGGCACCACTGTACAGCTGTATTTAGAGAAAAACACGTTCTCTTATAAAATTCAGAAAATGGTACATTGATTGTAACAGCAGGAGCTCACCTCTCCCTTGATGTTTACATTAGATTTCCAGATACGTATGTTCTATAAATAGCATCCTAAGATTGTAGCTATACTGCATCTCTCCTACTCTTAGGGACAACTGGTACTCAATTTTTTAAAATAAGACCTAACAAATTCCTATTTTAAAGATCGTTTAAGCAGCAGTTCCATAAATAGTATCAAGCAATAACTCAGAACAGACCTTCAGAAAGAGGCACAAAACAATTGGGTTCTTCAGTAACTGCTTTCAGATGGCTACCCTAATGATCAGCTTTAGCAAAACCTTGGCCCTCCCTGCCCCTATATAAAATTATGTCCATGTACCTATAGTTTCATGTTCCACTTTGCGACTGTGCAAGTACCGGCGTTTCTTCTCTTTCAGGAGGTGTTGAAGGCGTTTGAACTGATCAATATACAGAGACTGCAACCGGATCAGTTTCTCTCGCATGATCAGCGCCACTTCCTCAGCAGTGTACACACCAGCATGTCTGCACAAGCAGGACCCAACTGCATAAGTAGAGAGTCTAATTCACAGCTTAAACCTCTCTAATCATTATCATGGAAGAGCTAGGTAAAGTAGTGCTTGGTAGCAGAAGGAAGTATTTAAGAGCTATACAATCAATCAGAAAGACCTGTGACCTTCAATAGACAGAGTGTTTAGTGCAGCGTTTCCTTCTGCATGATCAAATAGAAGATGCTAACATGGCAAACTTCAAAGAACACAGGGATTTTCCAAAAAGGCCCAGGAGGCTATAATTCAGTCTCAACATATTTGAAATGCTCCTAGAGCCATTGTCACTTATCACGTATATGTTCATAAGCTATAAAGGGCAAAACAACTTACGAATATGACATCATTATTGTTCTTTACATAGGTCTGTCATTAATAAGCATTAAGAAAACATTTAGAATGGGAAAGTCAGGCTCTCAGCAAAATAACTACCTCTACTAATCAGCATCTCATGAGAAGACTCCCTGGAAAAGACCCTGATGTTGGGAAAATGTGAAGGCAAGAGAAGGGGATGACAGAGGACAAGATGGTTGGACAGTGTCACTGTAGCTATCAACATGAATTTGACCCAAATTCTGGGAGGCAGTGGAAGACAGGAGGGCCTGGCATGCTCTGGTCCATGGGGTCACGAAGAGTCAGTCAGACACAACTTAACGACTAAACAACAACTAATCAGCAACATCAGATAATATCTTGTCGTGTAACTCTGCATGCACAGTACTGATTATTTCATCAACAGCAGCAAATAGCCACTGATTAGTGATTTCAGGGACATATGACTTGTCTACATTACAGAAAAGCTGTGAGCATCCCAAAATCATCAAACAATGCTTTAATTTCCTGATAGTGATTGACATAGTCACTAATGCAAATGTGCAAGTGTGCAATAGGATTTTAGTTTTCTTGTACAATCATCTGTAAATATGAGACTGGCTGCATCAATAAAGGAAGCCACAGTCCTTATTAAACAGGTACTGTATGTCACACAAACCACTGCTTTTCTTCTAAGAGGTTGTTTACAGTGAAATAATATTCTAAATTATAAGCTTCAAGTAAACTGTTCACAGAAAGGTTCAGTGCCTCCTGGAAGAGCAGTCTTAATTTATATTGTCCAAAAGCAGCAATTCAAGCAAGGAGGAACACCATTCATATGACTCACTTTAGGGGGTCCTCCTGGTCACTGTCAATGCTATCAGCTTCACTGTCGGGATCTCCTCTCCATGTTTGATCCACAGTAAGAGGCTCCTGCTCTCCATCACTCCAGCTGTCCTCATCTAGAGGAACAGAAACCCATTACATTTGTTACTGGGAGGAGAATCTGTTGATGCTCTTACGTTTTCCATAAGAAGAATTTATAAGCACAGATTAAAGAACAAAAATCAAGCAGAGAATCCAGTAAGGCTGTTCTCTTTTGCTAATGCCTACCTACCAAATACATCCCTCTGGTTTCTCAAATTCATCCTTTTCTACGTATCCAGACAAACACCACCTAAGCTGTAAATGGGAAAATACATTTGTATCTCTGTGGGAAAAGATCTGGGCTTGGAAGAAGATGTATTAGTGAATGTAAAATACTCAGTATTATGCACTGATGTCATTTATACAAGAAACTGTTTTTAGGATTCTCTAATAACATTCTGCCAGACAATTCTGATTTTTATATGGACAATCCATTAATCTTAATTTATTTAAAAAAATCACTAACTTCTCTCTACATGTATAAAGTGTATATATAAATTATCACTAATGACAGTGAAGATGTTAAATGTTGCCAGATGACCAGCCACATTCAGAAAATATCAAGTGCTGCCAATGTACCAATTATTATCTGAGTATACATTTAAAAAATATCTAAACATGCACATGCACACACACACACCAGTGCCCATATGAATACTGCTTCCAGTTTTCTTCTTTAGCTGGCTTTTGCTTCTCAACTACAAGAGGGACAAGCTATCTGTGGTAGTCTAGATGTAGTTGGACTCCCATCAACCCTAACCTGTAGGGCCAACAGCCAGGGACGATGAGCACTGGGATGCACCAACATCTAAAGAACCAAGGTTTTCCATCCTTTAACTACAAAACTAAAGTTTTTCATTAGGACATGACAGATTCTAGCTGCACAACTTATTCTAATGACAAAAAGAACAGTGCCATTATTGCTTCGTCTACTCACCCAAAATCCTGCTAGCTTCACTACGGCTAGCTTCAGCAGTCTGGGAGCCTAAATCAGTCTTGGCATAGGAGCTCAACTGACAGAGGAGAGACTCTCGTACAGGACTAGGATTGGATTTCTTCATCTGTGCCTGCAGCGCCAGAGCATTTCTGCGGGCATGTTCAGCACAGAAAGAAATACTAGATGGGGAGGAAAAACGGAAATCAATCTTCTATGACCTCAGAAATAAATTTCCACTTCAATTTGCTGAAGTTGGGGAACAGAAATGAACATAAACATCCTCCCTGATGGCAACCTACATTTTAAAAAGTAGGCAAACCATTTGAAGAGCATACAGATCATGTATTGACTAGAATTCTGATGTTCATGTAAGGTTTCATTACTCAACAGGGCTAACTGATGAGGTATCAGCTAAGCCACATACCTGGTCAGATGCCAGAATGCAGAACTGAGTTGTAAACTGGCAGCTCGTCTATTAGCTGTTATTAGCCATATCAAGTTACATAAACGCAAAGAGTATTCTGGCCATAGTAATGAGCACCAAGTTACAATGCAGCCACTTCTGAAAGGGAGATACTGCCGTTTAAAAATTCAAGATACTGCCATTTAGAAAAGATGGGGTGCTGCTTTTACAGTATATATTGATCTACCTTGTATGAACCAAGAGGCAAACTATCTCTTTGGGCATTAAGTAATTTAGTCTTGACATTGTATCTGCAAGTTCTGTTTTGAAGGAATCAGAATGCTGTTGGAAAAATATTGTGTGTATAGCAGTAATCAGACAAGTGGTTTCTCTCACTTGTCCAGGTGCCTATCATGCCACCAGCTGAGACTGCTTTCATGATTACTGTCGTGTGCACTTTTTTCCCCCGAAAAGGAAAAACTGGCTGTAAAATTAAACAGCATATTTTCAAAGCTGTGATCAATTGTCTTCATGTACAGTCTTCATTTTTCTTACTTTTTAACATGAAGAGACAAGACTTTTACAAAGAAAATGAGAATTCAAGAATGGCTGAATTTTCATAAAATGTTAAGTCAGAATTCTTCAGAAACCTGGCTTATCTTACACAAGCAAGGGTGTTCATGCATATGGCCCAACTGCTCCTAGCTACTGCCTCCTACAAGCAGGACTGGCAAAACGACTAGGAACACTGACAGGGAAGAAAAGCACAGCATTACATCTGAACACAGACCCTAATACAGTGGTGCCCCACTTGACAACGATAATGCGTTCCAAGCAAATTGCTGTTAAGCAAAATCATCGTCAAGCGGAAAAAAACCCATTGAAATGCATTGAAAACAGGTCAATGCATTCCAATGGGGGAAAGACCTGCTCGTCCAGCGAAGATCCTCCATAGGGGAAGCCATTTTTCATCGCTGTCTTCCGGAAATAGGTCGAGAAAACAGCGGGGAGCCATTTTGAAAACCCGACTATCAGCTGTTTTTAATCAACGTAATGCGAAAAACCGGTTGCTGAAGTAGGGAACCGATCGTCGTAAAACAAAAAACCCCACTGAATCATCATTTTGCGACCACAAAACCTCATCGTCAAGCGATTTCATCGTCAAACAGGGTAATCGTCAAGCGGGGCACCACTGTATCTCTATCCTGAACATCAAATTCTGGCTTCAAACTTTGGTTTGACAGAGAAATAACAGGCCAAAGAAATAACATTATAATAAACCTTTCCCAACTTTCTCATTACTTTAAGCTAATACAGAGCACCTTACTATCAGCACGTTTAATCACAAACGTTAAGCAGGGATTTCGAGGAATAAAAAATCAGTTTCCTAGGGATGCAGTCAGTACATAATTCAAGATTACATAACAAAACTTCAGAGCATGAGCAGATATATCTGATGAAGCAAGTTACTGTCCATAAAAGCTTATGCCAAATAAAACATGCCAATCTTTAAGGTGTCACAAGAACCTTTTGTCTTATTTGCTACTACAGAGCTGCATGGATACCACCTTGAAAATATATAGCAAAGATTTCTCTTCACCAAGGTACTATAAAGTTACTCATGCCACATATCGGAAAATATATGGTAACTTTACATAGTTCGGAAATAACAAAGTAATAAGGAACTATCATTTTTCAGTGTATGTGTGAGCCACAGCAAACTCTGGATTCACAAACCTCCCCCTCCAATCTGTGAAAAGAAAGAGGTCACAAGTAGTCAGGTCCAGTTTTAAACTAAATGCAATTCCTAATGACTTACAAACTAAAGGAAAGACAAGATATAAATGTTACAAATAAATACATTACCTGTAATTTAAAAACAGTGCGTACTTTGAATCTAAAGTGTGGCCTCCCCATTCCAAGACTGTACTTCTTAAAAAAGTGACTGATGTTATGATTAATATTAAGGCCATCGCCCCCCATGCCATGAGGGAACAGGCCGGGTAGTGGGACTCGTTCAGCCCTGGAAGGCAGCCCATCCAGGAGAAGGAAAACTCTGACTTCAAACCTCCACTGTCTTGTGACTATATCCACTGATGGAAAAGGCTTCAGGAGTTAACCCCGAGGCAAAATCCAGAGCCGAAGTCCCGGAGGCAGTTCGTGACATTCTGTCAACTCCTGCGACGTCACTGGAACCAGTTGTATTGGCTCTTGCCTTTCCACTGGACTATTTCAGTGATGTGGAGAGGGGGAATTTGCTGGTTGGGTAACAGCCTATCCTCCATATTATTTTAACCGGGCTTCATGCCCTAGAGGACACTCTAGCTTTGCATACAGCGTCAAAATACTAGACTCTGTTCCAAGTCCTCCATACAGAGCACATTACCATAGTCTCTCAAGACTGAAGGATGCCTATGAAGAGTGTGCAAATGACACTAAGCAGTACCTTAGCTCAGACAGTCCCAGTGTGGCTACAGTGTGGCACACTAGAGCTGCAACAGCAATCACCCCTTATCACGGGCAATATGAGCTGAGGGGTGAAATCCAACAATATTTGGAGGACCATATTTTCCCCATCACACCTTTAGTGCGAATGCATCTATTCCACAAGCAAGCAAAGACTTTTTCCAGGAAAGCCTTTCCTCAGTAACTAGCCATCTGTGTGAGATTTTTAGATGGACTGTTATGCATTACTGCTTTGACTGGATTTTTAGTACTACTT